GAGAGAGAGAGAGAGAAGTTATCGTAGTGATTTAGAGAAACCTAACCTAACTTTCTACGACTTTTCTTTCTTGTTGATACAATAATTGTTAATAGAATAAAATAGAATAGAAATGCATCGATGAACTTGTGTTACGAAGAAAGATGGAAATTATCACGTGAAATGGATGTATGAAGAAAAGAAATCGGTTTTTGAATTTGAACGACATATGACGACTTTTGAATCAGTGGAGTTTATAGTGTAGTAAAAATCAAGAGATGGAGATGTATGAGACGAGACAGTCGAATTTTACAATCGATCGAGTCGAGTGATGAGCTTGGCACACGAGCAAACTCTCACCGGTTTAACGATCCTTCGGGGCCGTAAATGAAGCGGAAAGTTAATTCTGACGATTGATCGTGGTTTAAAGAGAGTGCAAGTACAGTTGCACAAATTAAGGTATAACGGATAAATGGCTCGTTAATTCTGTCTCGCGAGTGTCTCTCTTTCGACGTGTTTCACCGTCTCCATAAAATGTAACACCTTTCGAGCATCGTATTCGCGTATCGTATACGTATAGAATGAAATTAGGTTAGAAGAAAGCGACATCTTGTATGCATTTATTATAAACGGATGATTTATGAATGGAAACCGTAACGAACGTGACGTGATTATTCTTCTGTAACGAAGATTTATATTTCGTTAATTGTGAAAAAAAAAAAAAAAAAAAACTGAAATTCGACTTCAATTCAAACGGAAGAGATCGTTGAACTTGAAACAATCTCCGATTTCTTTTTCTTTTTCTTTCTTTTTTTTTTTCCTTTTTCTTTTTCAGCACGGTATATCGAATTTTTACAGAACTATAACTCTCTATTATAATTCTATCGTTTTAATTTCATGGCGATTACCGATCAACGACTCATACCGACTTCTTTTTTCTTCCCTTTACAGGAGGCGATAGAAAATCGAAAGGATCGACCACGAAAGGAGGAGAGCGCTAATATTGTCGGTGAGTCGAAACATCCGTGACATGTTTTTCATCGAGTCATCGACGCTCAATTAACGCAACTCAATTTTTTTTTAATCCCTCGTTATTTTTTTTCCCCGTCATGATCGAGCCAACTTCCTCGTTTGGCTTCTTTCGATTATGCAAAAATCATCGAAAAGAAAGTTCGTTTCAACGAAAACGATTTCTGGAACTTTAACTGTTCCCCTTCCTTCCTCCCTTCCCCCTCGACTTGATTGAACGCAGATAGAGAGAAAGAAATTAAATCAATTATTCGAATTAGACGGTTACGGTAAAGAGTTTTTTTAAAAAGGGCGAGAGGGGACGATTGATTCGAAGCGATCGAGCGGACAGAAGAGTTAATGCACGCGTATCGGGCTCGATTCCGTATCGTCTTTCCGAAGTCGCGGGTTCGCCAGGAACATGCGACATCGCGGACGCGTTATTATCGCGTTAAAAGGAACGCTCTGTTAACTCGCAGAGTTAATGGATCGTGAAAGTCACTCGATCGTTTCTCTCTCCTTTCTATCGCCTCGTGATTCGATTACACGTCGCTGGTTTCGTTTCCTCACCTGGTTTCCTCTTTCACATTTTTACACGTTTTTCACGCGTATAAATTTCGTATATATACAAATTAATCGTCATCCCTGACCGAATAAGTAAAACCACCTCGTACCACGATCCACTACAGTTCGCTCCACTTGTTCCTCGTATCAGCGACCTTATAAAAGACGAGAGAGAAAGAGAGAGAGAGAGAGAGATCTACGAGCGAGAAGAAGCGGAAGAAGAGGAGAAGAAAAGAAGAAGAAGAAAGGAGGAGGAGGAGGAGGTCCGATGCATCTGAACCGACGTGACCCGGCGCAAAAACGGTCACGATATCTCTGACGCGGTGTACGGGAGAGGGAACAGGTAACGAGCGATCAGATTTCTATCAGGATGCAACAGTCTTCTCTCTTCCTCTCTCTCTCTTCCTCCTCTTTTTTCCCCTCTTCTATCAACCAACTAACCAGCAACGATCGAAACGACGAGGACGAGGACGACGACAACGAAGAGGAGGAGGGGGAGGACAACGACAACGAACCGTTTCGATGCGCGCACAGCAGCGCACGGTGTGGATTCTCGTCGATGAGAATATGACCCCTGTGCACGTACGGCTCGGTCGTCGTATAGGCGTCGTGGCGCGTCTCCAGGGGCCACGGTTACACCACGCTCTCTCTCCACAGCCGGATACCACGTGTGTGTAGGTGATGGCCGCGCGCGGGCTGGTGGGAGTACCGCAAGGGTCAATCCACGGCGCGGCATTATATTCCGCACGGGGGCCTCACGGAGACCGGGTTCACAGGCAGCGCACGACGACGTTCGAACGCTTAATGGGCGGAATTTGTCTGGCCGGCAGGTACACTGACAGCCACTCGGTTCAGCCTGTTGTGCCCGATGCCCCCAGGCGAACCACGGACACGCCGCGAGCAAAGAAGCAACGTGACGCGGTTACCCAAGCCTCGTGAGCTGGCCGCTATGTGGCACAATTTCGCGATTCTTATTATGCTAACGGGGGAGGAGGGAGGATTTTATCCGACTAATTTCTCCCGATTTTCCCCCATTAAATTAAGGATCCATCCTCCTTTTCTTCTCGAGACACGATTCTCTCTCTCTCTCTCTCTCTCTCTCGACGAAATTCGTTAAAAGTAACCGACGAATCGTAATTGAATTCTCAACCGCGGCGTGGAGCCACGGATTGGGCCACGTGTCGGCCATTTGCAGCGGCTTCCCACGACGTCGGCCGCGTCGTTCGTTTTAACGGCCCTCCTCCCCCTCCTCGAAACGGACAACCGATAACGGACTGTCCCGGAGCGATCCGTGGCCGGATAACAGGCACAGGGGTCCGCTCCGCTTCCTCGTCCATTTACGACACAATGTGAAAAAGATACGCCTTGTCTAATTCAGGTCGTAATGTCAGGATCGTTAACGAACGGCCATAGATAAATCGGCTCCCTCCCATTCGCCCACCGCCTCTCTCTCTCTGTCTATCTTTCACCTTGGTCGAGAGGGTGGAAAAATCCGGTCGCAACGGATAGTCACGAGGAAATAACTTGGCCGTAATTAAACCATTGACGAGGTTCGAGGAGGTACCGTAAGGGTCAATCCGCGGATCATACCGATCGGTCCAAACGGACACGCAGCCTCCCAGCGATTTAACCGCGCGACCACGCTCCGTCCCTGGAATTTTGTTCGAGCGACAGCGAGATAAACTGACGGAGGGATACACGGTTGCAGCCTCGGTATTTACAGCCTTTCCTGCGATGACTCGCAGTGCGTGCTTTTTGCAGTACGAATATTTTCCGGGAATGGAACGGAAAAAGAGATAAACGGATTTTGAATCGAAGAAGGTTGGACTAGTATCGCTCGGTATAATTGACCCAACCGTGCCGTGAAATTTCGTTTCAAAATTTAATCGATACACGCAAGAAGTAATGTTTGAACGAGGTTTATAATAGAAATGGTAATATTCGCTTGGACGACCAATATAAGGTGTCGGTAAGAAAGTTATCGATCTCGAGGTGAAAGGTGGAACAAATCCTTTTCCAAATGGAAGGAAGAAATTTCTTGGAGGATTTTCTATTCTATATATCGTGAATCGAACGAGTTTCTTTCGATGGAAAACGAGAGAGAGGGAGAGCTTTCCTCTGTCGGCCCAGGCGGGAAAGTCCCCTTTGGAAGGCAAGCGGACGACAGGGTCTCGCTTTGGCTCGCGCGTGCCGCGCGGAAGTGGCGAGACACTTGAGATTTAACGACCGGAATTTGTCTGGCCGGGCAGGTACACGATACGCCGGACTAGGAAGGCAATCAGGAAGCGAAGAAAGTCGAAGGAGACTAACGAGTCGTACTAGGAATGGATAAATAGGCGGTCGTCCCCGGGGACTCTTTTCTTCTTTCCTTCGTCGCCGACACGTTCCGAGTATCGCTCGAGTATAATTGCTCGGCGAAGACACCAACCGTGCCGTGAAATTTCGTTTCAAAATTTAATCGATACAGGCAAGAAATAATGTTTGAATGAGGTTTATAATAGAAATGGTATTATATTATAACTTGCAGGTTATCGAGATGTCGCTCGCGTTTGTTAGATCGCGAAATTGCAGTTTTTGTTGGTCGGAGGAATATACTCTCGAAACTGTGATCTTTATTGAATTTGCCAAAAATGATTTGGAAAATTTTGCGACTATGATTTCTTGAGTCGAATATTTTTTAAAAAGTATTAGTCCATTGGCTAATGCGATTTGTTTCTTAATAAAATGATGTCTTTTACGGTGTTTGTGATTGTACGATCATCGCGTAATATCTCGTCACAGGTTATAATTCCATTCAAAAATGGACTTCTAACGTTTCGATGAGCGACTTTTCAATTTTAATATGGATCTCGAGGCTGATTTTTCTCATATTCTGAACTTTTGAAATTCACGAATCTTCTCCGAAAGATTGAGCGGTTTATAATATTTCGATAATATAATCGCTTCTCGCAAAGAGCAAAGTTAAACCAATAGAAAAGAAGAATTGCTCATCGAACTTACTAACTATGAACAAAATACAGGTTCCAAAATTGGCAATTTCTTCGATCGATTTCGAAGGAGAGAATTCGATTGCACGATCGAAACGAATTTGGATTTCGCAATATTTCAAAATCATTCCTTGGAAAAAAGAAAAACCTTTGCTCGACATTTATCAATCACGAGAAGCAAAACGGTGGTTTGTTCCGCGGGCAAAACTTGCTCCCAGAGAAGGAATATTCGCATTCGGTATCGGGCATAAATTAACGCCGAAGAGGAAGGGAAAGGCGGGCAAAGGAGGAGGCACGTTGACCGGTCAACGCACAATCGGCGTACCGGTTGTGTACCGTGCCTTTTTCGGCGAACTGTGAACGTAGCCTGAGGAGTGTGGCGGCATTCCCCCTTCGCGTCTTTGGCCGGTTCGTCCGGGGTCATCGACGAGAGGTCACGTCGCTCGCATGGCATCGGTGACTTTTTCATTTTTCCCCTCCCACCCCCCGCTCTCTCTCTTCCCTCGACTCCTCTCCTTCTTCTTCCTCCTCCTCCTCCTTCCCATTCTCGATAGCCAGGGGCCCGGCCGAGGCTTCTTCTTCTTCTCCCTTCTTCGTTCGTTTGCTTCGTTGCTCGAAGGAGTGGTTGCTTCGTTCGCATAGGCGCAGCCAGCATCTCTTTTTCGACCCTTCGAGGGAAGAGAAAAGAATCGGATCGGAAACTTTCTCGTTTCTCCTTCGAATCTCACCTTTTCCCTCGATAAAGGGGTTAAAGGGAGGGAGAAGGATCGGTTGGGAAGGGAATCGTTCGAGAATCGATTCAAACAGAATGAATGGAATGAAAGTTTATGTACTGTTACGCCGGAGGATGGAATCTTGGAATTTATCTCGGGATAACCGGTAGCCTATCTCCTCCTCCGCTTCGCGAAAATTAAAGATGCTCTGCCTCTCTGCCTCCTCTCATTGTTATTATTATTATTTACCAGGGAACGTATGCGCGAAGCGTATGGATTGGAAAATCACGAGAAATCGATCCTCGTACGCGTGTATTCCTTGTTAAATTAATAATTAACTTTTCTTTTCGCTTTTCGAAGAAGTTCGAAAGTTCGAATCGAGCGCCAAAACGAGGGGGAGACCGTTGGTTGGTTGGCGCGCGCGCACGCGCGCGAGAAAGGCACGCACCCGACGATACACTCGGTTGCACGAGGTTGGCAAAAACGTCCCTTTACGGCGTCGCCTCTTTCACCTCGCGTTCCACGATAATCGTCCTCCTTGGTAAAATTTCCTCCCCCCTTTCCTCCAGGAAGAGGAGAAGGCTGTGGTGGAAGGAAAGAGGAGCAAACACCCGTCGTATTTCCCCGTCGCGATCGGGAATTCAAATAAATCGCTAATCGCGAGCATTTATCCTTTCGCGCCGGTGACGTACGGAGTGGCGAGTATGCGGTGAGCGTACTCCTCTCTCTTTCTTTCT